AACATATGTGGAAACTGGGTTGACATTATATCAAGCCGGAATGATAACCAATCCCACTCCCGTATAACCCGTAGATGCAATATGATACGCCCCCCAATGCTCTTTTGAACAAGGGGACGTCGAGTTTCAGAATCTTCGTAATGAGTCTCCTAAGAGAAAGACCTATATCACTTTAAGAGGGTTTTGGAACTTTGTCTACTGCTACTGCTGCTGCTGCTACTACTACTCCTCCTCCTCCTCCTACTCCTACGCCTACTCCTACTCCTGCTGCTGCTGCTACTTCTCCTCTAGTTTTGCAAGGAATATGAGGCAAGACGACTGGTTGTTTCCCAGCGTGTGAGAAATCTGCTCTCGTCGGCTGCCTAAACTCCAAGCCCCAACCCCTGCACCCTAAACAAGCTGTCACGTGAACGCAACCAAGCAGAATTGGCAACCTCAACACCCGTGCACTACATAGCCTGAATCTCCTGGAATGTCGGGCGGATTCGGCTTGAACAGACAGGGCTTAGGGTTTAGGGCACATCACACTGAAATTCTATCATCACTATCCGGGACTAAAACAGGTTTCTCCTTGTATACTCCCAAACACTTGGACCCTCATTCCGGGCGCATCCATAAGAGACCTACCCCTACTTTGAAGAGAGTAGGGCAGGGACGCCAACTTCTGACCGAAGATTTGAGGCCCGAATCGAAGATCCAATACCGAAACCCCCTGACCCTGACTGCATGTGAAGCGTCCGGCCTAAGCGCTGGCGCGCGAAGAAAGTGTGTCGGCTGCCTGCCGTAGGCTCAGAATATTTCCAACCCCAGTAGACATCCTTAGCGGGGCTTGAATACTAAAGATATTCTCAAGAATTGGGGCAAATAGTAGCAAATAGAGCCATCCCTTATGCTCGGTAGACTCGAACAGTACAAGCTGTCGTAAGAAAGTCTGAATCTCTTGAAGAGTGCAGGATCTGCCGAGGGCACGCTTGGATTTTCAGAGGATTCTAGGGGGCCTTTCGGGGATGGCACCTTTTTTCGTTCGGTGTAACTTGCAAGCTCAAAAAGAATATGATTTGTCAAATTTGTCATGAAACAGGTATACAGCTAATGCAGCAAAACGAGGCTTTGGTGGTTACACATGAATTCTCCTCCGACATTGATATGATAGGAGCCGCAAGTTTCGTTCCCAAGCCTACACCCTACCTGAACCAGATCCATATGAGCTTGGCCTTTTAATTGTTGGGCTGTCCTATGGTTTAGGGTGTATGGTTTAGGATTTAGAGGTGTAGGGCTTAGGGTTTACCAACCTAGGCAGGGCACAAGACTTCAGAGCTGCGCGCAAAAGTCCCGAGGTTGAATGATTTCTTTCAAAGGTACGGTAGGGCATATAGTCCCCCTTAAGTAGATAGAATAAAGCTTGGGGTATGTTATAGAAAGATCCCAATATACCCCCCCTTCTATCTACCTAAGGGGGACTATAGGCGGTATAGATTTAGTCACGCAAGTGTAGGGCCTAGGTTTGGGAACCTTCAGATCTGATACGGCGCCCGATCACTCGGATGCTTTCTCGTGCAATGTCTCCGAAGCTACAGCGGGTGCTCCTGACTTGGGCTTAACATCTAAATACGTGCCAAACAAAGGCGCCCCATATACCCATGAAATAAAGTCCTGAACATTGCAACCCCCAATTATGGACCACGATGTCCGCACCCCCGCACTTGAGGCAGTTCATGTAGCCCTTTACGGGACCCCTGCAAACAGCATCGCAATGCAAAGCCTGCGACTAGTTCCTCGTTGGGGTGCTTCCATTTGGGAACTAACTACACTAAAACGAGACTAAACTTATGCGCAACAATGGCCCAGACGAGTCAATAAAGACAAAAGCTCACAGCAGATGCAACACCACGCTGTCACACTCCTTCACAAAGGAAACCCGCTACGGCAGCCTCTCTACGGTCCAATTAAGACACCTCAAGTGCTGGCGCCATCTAACACTGCAAACCTAAACGCTACCTGTACCTCCCAAGTGCTGTCATGAATGTTTGGGTGGTCTAGGCCTGAGCTGTCTCGCAGGTGCCCTGGCAACATACCCTAAACCCTGAACCCTGGTTGAGGGTGTAGGGTTGGGGCGTGGCCTTCCACAGGGTAACCCAGGCGCTTCCAGGCGTTAAGCCCCCGCCTCTGGACAGGAAAGATTTGTTCATGTAGGGCTTAGGGGCTCCCGATTCAGTCCTATATCCCCTACTTGAGGAATATCCCGGTAACCACTTGGCCAAGGTTTTTAGGATGTAGGCTCCCCAAAAACAACTCCATAATCCTAGTTCCCATGCTATTTTCCATTTTCTGTTCCACTTGATTCTCCATTATCAGGGTATATATCCAAATTTAGCCCTATATAGACCCTTAATTATATTACCCGATAAAACCCCTCTATATGTATATATATATATGTATTTATTTGTTTTTAAGATGTTCTTCGGAAGTCTGGGACTGCGTTGCCCAAAGCTCCAACCCCCAGAATCCTCTACATGCTTGAAGGAGCAGGCTCCTGAAATATGACGGCTGATTGGTTGATTCCTCTACTCCTCTTTGCAGCTTACTTTCCCTGACCTGACCTTCCTGGCACCTGGTAGGGAATAAGGTAATATAAGCCCTGCCTACATAATATAGTCCCTTATTCCCTACCAAGCCCATGTAAGTCCATGTAAGTGACACAGTGTATGGCTCCTGAGGGGAAAGCAGCAACTGCCAGGACCAGGTAGTTGCTGAGGTCAAGAAACAAAAGCTGAGGTGCAAGCTAGGAACCCGCATCTTCTCGCGCAGCTCAAATCTAATCCTTCTGTATAGCTGGTTACCAACAAATCGTAGCTTCCAGTTCTTTCCATGCCCCCTGTATAACCCTACATAAGCCTATATAACCCAATGAGTTTGAATTAGGATTGGTATATGGCTTTGGTCTCAGCCTTAGTGGTTCGCGGCTTCGAAAGCCTGACTATAGGGGTCTCCCTGTACCATAACTAAACCTGAAAACTCTAGCCTAAACTAAAATCCTCAACCCTGAGATTCCCTGTGACTCATTGAAGGGGCCTTTATTTACGTAATTAAGTGGTATTGAACTCTGAACTCTATACTCTTTTGCCTAAACCCTACACCCTGAACCCTAAACCCGCCAAACTTTGAGCCTCAGTCTCCTCACCTGATGACTGGGCAAGAACCTGCCCAGGACTGCGGCCACCTTCCAACGATCATTTGCGGTGTTTAGGATTTAGGGTTAATTATAGAGATCATATAAGGGAAATCTGTTGTCTATAGGGATATGTAAATTGCAGGGGAGAAAAATGCAAGCTGCCATGTAGGGTTTGGAGTCTGTTGGGTTCCATGTCTGCTGCGAGCTCATGGCATCCCTGGCATGAGAAAACAAACGTGTTGGGGTATGCAAGGGAGGACGCCCAGGGTAGGTACAGTTTTTACACAACGCGCTGCCTCTACTTGTAGCAGATTTCTATGGAGTTTCGTGGGCTTCGGTGTGGCCTCTGCGCGAATCTGTTCTACGAATGCAGCTGCAGTTGCAGGCAATGTGTAATTAAGAGTACCATGCTAGATGCAGACACACATTTTGCGTGAATCGCATTCTCAATTCTTTAAGCTGCTACTTTAGTTTTAGGCTTGAGCACAAGGTTTGTGTACAGCGGCGCACGCTGACAGGGCTACACACTCTAGATTCTCCGAACGAGCAAGCCACGGTGCTGAGGGTTAGGGTGTGGAGCTTAGGGTTTAATGTGGGGGGCGGGGGGGATGTTCTAAGCCCTAAGCCCCAGATCCCAAACTCTAGGATTCGGTCGAAGGAATCTATTCAGAGCTTACAGGGTTTGATAGATTACTACACCCTATATAATCCCATAATCCCTGCAGTTTCCATTTTCTTTTCCATCATCTTTTCCATTTTTTTATATAAACCCTATACATACCCTATGATCCCCATAAGAACCCTATATAATCCCTTTATTCCCTGTAGTTTCCATTATCCCTACATATCCCCCATATGAGCTATAGTCTTAATAATAATCCCTATAGTAGTCCCATATATAATCCCCTAAATAACCCCCTTTAAGGAGTTTAGACCCTAAACCCTAAACCCTAAATCCTAAACCCTAAACCCCTAGATAACCCCCCTTTAAGGAGCTCATATAACCCTGGTATAACCCCCAATACTTTGAGGGTCTCCAGACCTCTCCGAGAGTCAGCCTTGCTCAGCCGGTAGGCATCCACCAGAGCCATACAGTAAGGGTCCCACCATAGCGTAGGGTTTAGGGTTTAGGGTTTAGGGGTTTAGGGGTTTAGGGTTAAGGGTTTAGGGTTGTACTATAGTATTTTATAGTATATGACAGTATATTCGTATAGTATATTATAGTGTGTGATAGTATATATTACAGTCTATTATTGTACCCAGATCCATATTGGGGTTATCTATTGGGATATTGGAAAAGAAAATGGAAAAACTGCTATATAGGGTTATATATTGTGATAATGGAAAAGAAAACGGAAACTACTATATAGGGTTATATATTGGGATAATGGAAAGAAAACGGAAAATACTATATGGGTGGATGTCAATGATCCCTTTTTGGGTACCCTAAATATTAGGTGCCGTATTTTAATAGGGACCCAAAACGGGACCATAATTTTGACAACCACCTATATAAGGTTATACTGGCCCCGTATCCTGCCTTGTTTTTAGATCCGCAGCTTGACAACCTGAAGAAAAGGCACAATCTCGCTTTGGATATGAAGGCCACGCTCCACTCCACCATTGTGAAGCCGTTCTGTCAAACAAGAACCCATAATTAGTAACAATTGGGGGGCGTGCTTAGTCTGAAGTTAAACTTGAGGATTTAAGATAGCCCATCTCTCTCCTTAGACCCTAGACGCACGCGGCCGGTGAAACTGGTGAGACAAACTCCTACCTGTGCAGGAGAATTAGAAACATGGATAGGCAATCATCTTGCAATGATCTACTACAGGTACGTCAGGGTTTTCTTGTTGCTGCGTTCTGGTGGCGGTGTAGGGGGTGCGCCTTGCAAGCTTTTGCGGGCAAGGCTTTGCCTCTTGGCTCGCACTCTTCCGGCAGGCTTCTCGCGGTGCTCCATGCAACGCAAAGTGCCCACCAAGGTGCCAAGGGCCGGGTCATGCTCCAAGTTGAGAACGGCTTTCACTGTGCACACACCGAGGAAGTTGAAGCTCCCCAGCATAAGCCGCGCATCTCCAGGCAGTGCCTTTGTGTGATTGAAAGAGTTCACTGCTCCTTGTATGCGCCTGCTCAGCGAGGTCTCACCAACATCTGGCGAGAGGTCATAAATGCTCATCTGCTCAAAGTCAGCAAAGTGGCCGGTGCACCTAGCAAAGAGGTTCTCAAACTCATCACTGGCAACAAGGATGTCGAACGTCACGGCATCGAACGCGATGGAACAGTCCGGAACACCCTTGCCCCCGGCGGAGGAGATAGCGCCGTCTGACTTGAGGGGTGATATAGTACTTCCGGTGAAGTCCGGGGATTCTCTGATACCAACTAAGCGGCAGGAAGCCCCAGAACCCGTAAAGAAAGTAAGTTGGAGCAGCTCAACCTTGATCTGGGTGCCGGCAGAATCTATGAGTCTGGCGATCATTGTTGGGTTTGAGCCTCCATCACACTGTAGAAAAGACTCCACTCCAGGACGATCCGCGCTCACAACCTGAGGACTAAGCTCGGGTGACTGCAAGACGTATTGGATATGGGTCCCCGACCAAGAGGCATCCCTCTTTGGGGGACCCCATTCATTTGGGGATCTACGGGGGGATCCCTACTTTTCCGCTTCCCAAAATTCATCGGAACCCTAGAGTGTCTATCTATGGATTTCTACAAATTGCCACACATTGGGGGGGGAGTTCCCTTTTAGGAATCCCTCCAACAATAGGTAGACAAGCGGACTCCATTTTTGGAAATTGTTATGCAGGTCCAGGGTCCCGAGGGGCCTCCTAGTTGGACAAAGTCCCATAACTCTCGCCATGCATTGTCAGGTGAGTTGTAGGGGGAAAATTTTGGCTGATCTCAGATCAAGGCACACAATCCAGAAAATCTGCTCCAGCCATAGTAGCGGCGGAATTCTCACAGAATAGCATTGTTCCAAGCTGCGGAGACTCCTCCAAGAGCTTGAAGGACGAGTCCACTTCCACCACACAATCGCAAACACCGCTCATGAGGGCAGCTGCGTCATCTATGGAAACTCGCTTGGTGCTCAAGTTGATCTGCTGCTGGGCCAGAAACGAGATGTGACGGTGCAGGATGCAAGTCAGGATCATTTGAGAGCCGAGGGTCTCAAAAGCTGCGTACATCATATCTGGATCTCGCCACCAGAGGACCCCGCTGCAGAGGCAGTGTCCAACAAGTGCCTTCCAGCCGTGCTGAGCCCAGAGGGCAGTCACCAGCCGAGGAAGTAGCATCATATGAACTAAAGATTGCAAGTCTTCCTCCTCGGAGAAGTAGATGACCACAGCACAAAGGAGCTGCCCAGCTGCATGCAGAAAATCCAATGCCAGTGGTGAAATCTGGTATGGTGAAAGAAGCACAGTAAGCAGCATGGCATGAGCTACAAGTAGCGGAATGTCCACTGCTAGATATACTGGATCAACATTGGCTGCCACGTTGACCTGTACGTGTACGAACCGGATGCTTGAGGCGACCAGAAAACATGCGCAGAATCCTCGGAGAATGGTGCGCTGTATATCTCGGCATGCTTTGATGTGCTTCTTTGTTCCTGACACCTTTCCCAGCCACTTCTCGCACTGCGCCCAACAGCCGCGGCACCAACGTGCTGCACAGCTCCGACTCTTCCGGCAACTTTGCCACAGAAACACCAGAAGTCTGAGAACTGTCAGGGCCTGGAGCACCGCTGCGATGATACCAATGGCAAGCGAAGTGGTCGTGACAGGCATCCTCCGGCTACTCAGCAGAATACTAAAGTACTGCTTTGAGCCTACCTCAAGTGACCCGACCCATGACTTTCTCCAAGAAGTGGCGTGCTCCTCGTTGCCCATGCGTATTGTTACGGATGGATCCTTTTCTCTCTTCAACCCTCTGCATCATCGCAAGATGTTGGTATACATAGATATATATATATAAAGCACACACGGAAGTCACGGATGCTTCTTTGAATCATGGATCCCCTCCGAATTTTCTATATCATCCCAATATTAAGTACTCTTCGCTTATAATCGTCGGCGGATACAGGAGGTGCCTTCTAGACCACGCAGCTCCAAAGCTTGTGTCCGGCAAATACTTAAAGGGTCAGGGAAACTTAGTCAGTATAATTACCCTCCTCCTAACCTCTATTAGGGAGTTGCCCACTATTGAGGGCCATATATCCCCAATTGAAGGTACTAGGAGGGCCTTGGTAAGTGCAATGGACCCTCCCGAGCCTGTCCGCAACGGCTGATTTGGCTGCCATTGTCGCTGTAAACGATGACCTGGGCTCCAGGACATTATCCAATTGGTTCTACGAGAAGTTCCTAAATGGGCAGATAACCCCTCAAGGGCGCCCCTACAATTTCTTGCATGCTCCCCATACACACTTGGGATCCCAAGCGCCCTCATTGTTGATAAACCCACTGAAATGCTGGCAAAGCACATGGGAAGGCCCAATGTAAGATATGATCTGCGTCTGTGCTATGAGCCATGACAGGAAGAAGCCCTCAAAAAGAGTTGGATGGTCCTTGAAGACCCAGCGCAACTGAAGCCGCAAGCAGCACCCTCCTTGAACACATCAGGAAGCCCAAGGCTTTTTGAGAATGCTGGGTCGCCCTGACAGAAGACTCGCAGTTCGGGTCTGGTTCGAAGAGGATGTTGAGGAGCAATTTGCTTTCATCTAAGGTACATGTTTGGTGACATGCCCCCACCCCCACTAAGAAAAACCTCAGAGAGTGGCGAGTTCAGCACCTCTGAGACAGGAAGCCACCCTATAGTAGGTGTGAAAACTACACTCGAAAATCATTCCCAAGGCGGCGACCATCTTTGATGAGTCTTTCTGCATCTCCTTGACCTCCTGATGGATTGCGCTCAGGACGTCTTGTATTCTCTTACTACTCAGGCTCCAAGAACATTCAGCAGACAGCTGTGGACCTGTGAAGGTCTACGTTTTGGAAGTTTCAGTTCTCCGACTACAAGCGACCCCTGAATCCCGAGCATCCTTGAACCTTGCGTCTGAAATTGCTAACCCAGAATTAAGTTAGAGGGTCAGGGCACTTAGGAGGCATACTTATAACTTATAACCCCAGGTCACTCTGATCCTCCAGATAGGGCTCCCAACACAACCAGGCTCGACTCGCGCCCCATGCCTGGCCTCCGAGTTCTTTGCGAAGCCGACCATCGCCCAGTTCACGTTTAAGGCGTTCCTTTCAGTACCAACCACAGGACTCAGGAGGGGAGTTTTCGATGGGAGGGGTTTATGTAAGGGGTATATATCAAGGGGGTATGTAGGGGCCGTGGGGATAAGTTAATATATAAAGCTGACCCCACATGGTAGGGTAAGGCACACACAGTCCTCTAAACATGGGGTCTCCCGAGTCTAACCCAAAAGGACACAGACTTCATGACAGGACATCCCCAGAAGGAACCGCCACTGTTCTTGCGAGGCCCAATGGTGGGTTAGTGGCTAAGAGGTAATCCTCAAGCCGTTGAATTGTTCTCTGCCGGATCCCCGTAATCAAGGCCTGCATTTTCCCCATAACACCTGTGACATCTCATCTCTCATGCCCAATTCACGAAGGAAGCTGTCTCGGCTCATAAGCTTCGCCAGCCAGGTCTCAATCCTACATTGGCAACAAGCTCGTGTACCGCTAACGGGTTTCCCTGATACGGGCCCAATATACTTCTCATATTAAACCATTTGACCCCTAGAATTCCTTAAAAGGATCCCCAAACACAGGGGTACAACCCTAGGGGTGCCACCCTAGAACCCTTGAGAACCGTGCTGTAATCTACGTAAGAGCACTCCAGCTAAAATCGCTTCGCCCTTACAGCCCCAGAAGCTTGCAATGCAACGCCTTCACCTCCCATGGGATTCTTGATGTGGTCTTGCGTGATGCTTTCAAACACCCCCAACGAGTAAAGTCACGCATCCCTGAACTTCAGAGCCTCTCTACGTAGAGAGCAACTACTTGGAGATCCCGGCGTAACCCAAAGTCTATAATCTAGGGTTTGGATTTAAGGTTGTAAAATTATATGCACGTGCACCTTTACCTGAGGTCACCTCAGACCTCATGAAAGAGGGGATCAGGCTTTTCTTTTGGCATGTTGGCTACTCCAGGTATGCCTGCCAAGGCGGGTGATGCAGGGCATACACTCATAGAGCATAGGCCTGGTGTACGCAAGTATATAATATACCAATACAAGTTGAGAAGTGTAGTGTGATATGATTATATCAGCCGGCTGTATACGGGAATTCATGGGAATGTTTCAAACATTCTCAGCCCGTCAAGCCCTACACCCTCTACTGCTACCTCTTCTTCAGGCTTGTGCATCACCAAGGTTCGTGATGCAGCTCGTATCGAACTCATCGCCATCCCTGACATCAACGAAATGGGCCATGTCCTCAGCTGCCAGTTCCTATGTCATATGCTTTGAAGGGGCCAAGTGCACAGGCTGCAGGCAGGGTATGGGGCTTCTGTACAGCAAGTCTAGGGCAAACCAAACGATGGTCTTCTATATACCTACCCCTTCAAGGATGCCTAGTCTTCTTTCTTTGCTAGTTTTGGGCATCACAAACAACCTACACAGGTGCCGAGAGGGAATCATCAATTTGATCGGCTGCAGGTAGAATGCCGCAAGCAACCTTAGACCGGCGCTTCTTCCTGCATCGTCTTCACGGAAGACGTATGCGGCTTTCAAAATACATATGTGATGCACGGTTTTTATTTAAGGTC